TGGTGCATGAGGAAACTCCTGGAGACAGGTGCCTGTGAGGAAAAGGCTGGATTTAATTCCATTTAGGTACAGGCAGACTGAAACTTCCAGGTGGTCTGGAAGAGGGGATCAATTAATATAGGGTTTGGGGACAGGGTTCATAATCTCAAGGAATTTGGATGGATATGTGGGGTCAGAGTTCCAAGGATGGTCAGTGCAAGTGGGTGGATGCCACTGGACGTTCTGGCACCTATGAGATCATATGTCCACCCTAAATTTTTTATAGTCAGTGTCCATTTTTGTAGTTTTTTATGAATGTCTGGTCTGATTGGGTCATGAATTGCATTTTTAGGGTAAGCTGTGCCTCTGGCTTTTCTGGCCTAATGCTGTGTATTGCCTAAGGGCGGCAGTCAGACAAGCCATAAACTGAGCTAGACTTACATCACTGTTCTGAGTGGGTTCCTTTAGCTTATCAAAATTAACCACCTTATGGACTGCCCTGCAAAGTCCTGCTACTAAGTAAGAAACTTTGTGATCTCAGTTGGCTATGTCCTTAGATTCTGCCTGATGGTTCCAGTTTGGGTTTTCCCAGAGGACAGCTGCAGTGCCCACCAGATGCTTGGCCTGAAGGAGGTACTGTTCATCCACATAGGATTTGGTGAGGGAGATCACTTGTTCCTACTCTTCTGAAGAAAGAGTGGAGCCAAGGATCACATTTAAATCAGTCTTGCTTAGTTTATATGACTAAGTTAGGTATCAAAACTCTTGGATATATTGGGATCTGAGGAGAGGGAACCCAGGTGCTGGTTAATTTGGGAAAGGTCTGTCAAAGAGAAAGGAACATGAATCTAACTATCCCTTCTGCTCCTGCCACTTCCCAGAATGGAAACTGGGGGACAGGGAGCAGGGTTTTGGGGATGAACTGCAATCCATTTCAGGTATGAGGTGAGGTGGGGTCAAGTGTAGTATATAGAGGAGGATTAAAGTCAAGGGGATGTACGGGATAAATAGAGGGAACAGGCACCAGATTGGCAGGAGGACCCACAGGAGGGGAAGGAGAAGCTGCAGTGCCTGAAAGCTCTGGGAAGAAGTGGCTGCCATAGCAGGAGACTCCAGAGGAAGAGGAGTGGCTGCAGCAGCAGGAGGTTCTGGACAGTGTGGAGAGAGCGAGATCAGTTTGATCTGCTGTCAGAGAGGAGTCCATGACTTGGGAAGTAGGTACAGACAGGAGGGAAAGAAGAATTTGAGAGGGACTGCATGAGGTGCACAAAGTGGGAATATTACAGAATGTAAAGAATGCCTGAATATAAGCTAATTCTGACCATTTGTTCCACCTCTGTTCGTAACTGTCTAAGTCCTACAAAATAGGGAAACCAAAAGTGTCATTTTCTGGCCAGGATTAGCCATTGTTGTTTGTACTGTGACCATATGTTGTTCCAGAAGAATATTAAAAGTGTGGGCTTCAGATCAGGATAGAGACAGAGAGGTTTCAGAATTTTTCAGAGACAAGCTAAGGGGGAGGAAGATGGAATAGAAAGAAGACGTTTCCCCAAGGAGAGCAAAGAGAGGTAACTCACACCTGGCATGGCAAAATGACAGTGGCAACAGGGTTCCCAGATGTATATTTTCAGTTGGGTCTAAAGGCCATCATGGACCATGGGTAAGTGATCAAGGCAGCCATCACTGTAACTGATCAGTTATAAGGGGACCTGGAGGGAGCTATGTTTCTGTGATTAACACTAGGTTTACAGTCATAGAAAACAGGGTGTCTTAGTTACTTTTCTCTCATTGCTGAGGCAAGATACCTGACAACCAAAATTAAGGAAGGAAAGTTTTATTTAGCTCACAGTTTGTGGAGATTTCAGTCCATAATTGTCTGGCTCCAAGGCAGGGTGGCACATGGCAGAGGACAACAGTTCATGGCAGGCAGCAAATAGCAAAAGGAGCAACAGCAAAAAGGGAGGAGTGGCAGTGAGCAACCTCTTTCCCTCCCTTACATTGTATGCAAACTACCTGCCCCCAGGTGGGTGTAGCACTCACACCCATACTCTCAGCATTGGACCACAAATCAATCATAAACTCTAGAAGCCCGCCCCATGACTGCATGAGGTTTTGGGGGGACATCCAGCCACAAACCATAAATTCCACCCCTGGTGCCCCAAAGACCCATGCCCATCCTTTTAGCAAAAGACATTTTAGTCCATCTCTAAGTGTTGCCAAAGTCCTAACAGTTTCAGAATTGCCAAAAAGTCCAAGTATCAAGTGTCCTCCAAGTTGTAAGGCAAACTATTAGTTGCAAGCTCCTGTACAAATGAAAAGTTAAACACTTCCAACATTCAATGGCACAAAATAAACATTTTCATTCCAAATGTTACAAAAGGGGATACAAAGGAATGGGACCAAAACAAGTCCAAAATCCAGCAGGGCAAACATTAAGTCCTGTAATTCCACATCCAGCATCTGAAGCAATCTGTGTCACGTTGTGAGCTCCAAAGGGCTTGTGTGACTCCACCCCTATGACACTTCTGGTGGTTACAGCTCCCACAGCTTCTGTCTTAGGCCCACGTTGCTCCCTCCTTGCAGCTTTACTTAGACAATCCATGTTACTGGCTTTTCCAAACTTCTGCAGTCTCCAGGGCACCTTTAGCTTCACACTCAGAGCTTCACACACTGCCCTCTCAGGGGCACACTGCCTGGCCTCCCAGGCCTTCTTCTGAAATCTAGGCGGAAGTGTTCTCAACCTCAGAACTCTCCCATTCTGTATTCTCATAAATACAGTGCCATGTGGATGATGCCAAGGTCTGCTGCCACCTAGAGCAGTAGCCAAGCTTTCCTCTCTCTTGGCCATAGGGGTTGAGTGCCTGGGTCACTGAGCACCCTGAACCTGATTCTAAGGAACAAATTCTTTATGCTGCAGCAATTCTGAAATCTGTTGCGTCCGCTGCTGCCATTTTGGAACACGGAGCTCGGAGGCTTTCTTGTCGTATCAAAGTCTTTCACCTTTGCAGGTTCTAGGCTGCAAAGGGTGGAGACTTGCTGCTCCTGGTGATGCCCTCAGGCCATCTTTTCTAGTCTCAAGTTCCTTCTCTGCAGTCAAGATCTCCTCTACTCTATCTTGCAGTCCACAGCTTTACTGGAGTTTTTTCCTGGACAAACCAACAATGCTTTAAATCATCCTGCTGGGCTCTTTGCTCTTGATTTTCAACATAAATCTGGCTAAAAGCCCCCAACAATAGCATACCACTGCTTTAACATTCAACTGCCTTGAAATTTCTTCTGCCAGATTAATCAATCCACTGCTCTTAATCTCAGATTTAGGCGAAGTCTCTGGACACAAGCGAAATGCAGACAAACTTTCTGCCAAACCATAACACACATCTTCTGGAGTCCAACAAGCAATGCAGTCCTTCTTCCCAGCAGAAACCTCCCAAACCCAGTCTTTACCATCAGGATTTCTATCCAGCTTCTTGTCTTCTGAGCTTTGACCAGAATCTCCCATATAGGACAGCCAAAGGCATTCAAGGTGTACTCTTTCAGGTGACATCTCCCAACCGTTCCAAACTCTTTCCAGAAGCCATTTCCAAAGGCTCTTGAACCACATGGTCAGGTATAGTCACAGCAACAACCCCACTCCTCTGGTACCAAATTCTGTCTTGGTTACTTTTCTCTCATTGCTGAGACAAAGTACCTGACACCCAAAATTAAGGAAGGAAAGGTTTATTTAGCTCACAGTTT